TTCGGTTATTATTTATTATTAATACTCACTGGGTCGGAGTACTCATATTACTCCCTGCACCATGCGTGCAGATTCAGGCATAGCAGAGTCCGCACCTGAGCACTGATCTCCTTCCCAGACCAGGCAGCGAGTTGGAGCTTCGAGGTAGCTGTTGACGTCCGCAGCCCCTTGACTCCCCTATTTTATGTTATTTTAGTTCCTTCAGACTATTGTATCAGATACTCTATTTCGAAGACTTATAGCAACTCTGTAGTAGCTCATGACTTGTGACACCCCGGTTTGGGCTGTGTCGGGATGGTTTCCTTTGCTATTGTCGCTGTTTTCGCTTTTATAACTATTTTATACGCAGTTTGGATTTATTAATGTTAAGTAATTGTTAAAAGAAGTGTTTCCGTTGTTCTGGCTGGCCTTGTCTTCACGAGAGGCGCCATCACGGCCGGGTTTTGTATTTGGGCCGTGACATTGAATATGGGTTAACCCATATTAAGTGTAATACTTTTTCAAGAATTTATAATTTTTCTTTTGTTCAATCATTTAGTGACATAATCTTAACTGGAATAATATATACTCTTCTACATTAAATTTATTCAAATTTAACTATCATATTGTAAATTTAAGTCACTCTTCTACAAATATGACAGTTTTCATTTTAGGAAGAAAATGTGCTTAATACATTACAAGCAATAATTACTAATAATAAATGACTTTGTGCATTTTCCACCTTGTTCATGTATTGTCTGCAATTCAATATAAAACTAAACAAATTTAAAAATATATATAATAATAGTAGTAATAATAAAAAGGGGATAAGTGCAAATTTACGAATTCTTAGGATATGTTTGGTATGAAGGAAAATATTTTCCCAAAAAATGAGTGATTTTACACTTATTTTTCCTCGTTTGGTTGGTGAGAATTTTTTTTTCTAGTGTTTGGTCAGAGAGCATAAAATATTTTTTAGGAAAATATTCTTTTATGATACTCTCCTCACCCCCTCCCCTTCCCCCAAATCTCCATGTTTTATGTGCTCCCCCTATAACGAACTGGCCAGTCATTTTGAGTATTTTAGACCGATCTCCTATTTATTGCCTCCTCCATGTTATATTAAGGATATGTGATTTTCCGGGGGTGTTTGGTTTTGGTTTCAGGGTGAGTTCCGGACTGAAATGGGACACATAGTCCGTAAGTTGGAAGTTTAGGTTGAAACAGTTAACCGTAGTTTGATTTGGTGTAGTCGACTCCGGAATGGAGTTTTGAAGATTCCAATAGCTCCTTATGGTGATTTTAGGCTTAGGGGCGTGTCCGGATATTGATTTGTAGGTCAATAGGCCGCTTTGGCTTGAATTGGCGAGAGTTTGAAAGTTGAAGGTTTGGAAGGTTAGAAAGTTTGATTAGGAGTTGACTTTATTGATATCGTGGTCAGACCCGATTTCGGAAGTTGGAGTAGGTCCATCATGTCATTTATGACTTATGCACAAAATTTGAAGTCAATCGAAGTTGTTTTGGTGTGAATCGGCATTAGTTTTGGAATTCGGAAGTTCATAATTTCCAATAGGCTCGAATTGGGTTGCGATTCGTAGAATCGATATTGTTTGATGTGATTTTTGGCCTCGAGTAGGCCCGTTGTGTGCTTTGAAACTTGTTGGTATATTCGAAGGGGTCCCGTGGGCCCCGACTGTGATTCAGATTAAATCCGGAACAATTTTGAACCTTATGCATTGCTGAAATTTTGATGTGATTGGTGCAATCGCACTTGCGCATTTTGGGTCAAGTTCGGCGATGCAGGAGTGGCCCTCGAGCCGCAGAAGAGAATATCGTCATGACTAGTGGGGACCGCATGTGCGGTCCATGTTCTGCATAAGCGGACTCGCCGTTGCGGGGAATGCATCGCAGAAGCGGATTTGGCCAGGGAGGCCTAGGATCGCGGAAGCTGACAGCGTCCCCAGAAGTGCATGCGTAGAAGCATGTTTAGACCGAAGAAGCAAACATTTGTGAAATAAGTTGGAGCCACACTGCGATAGTTTTTCCGCAGGTGCGGCGTCGCGGATGCGGTTGAGTGAGATGCGGAATCACTGGGCAGAAAAGGGCTAAGTTCGAGGTTTGATTTCATTATTTATTTTTGGACCTAGAGAGCTCAGTTTGTGGCGATTTTTCGAGAGATATTCAAGAAATTCATCGGGGTAAGAGATTCTAACTCGGTTATGGTTATATTACACGATCAATTGTTATTTTCATCATTTAATTAGTTATTTGAGTTGGAAATTTGGGACAAAATTATGAAAACTTCCTAGATTAAATTTTGGGATTTTGAAAGGCAAATTGAGGTTGGATTTGTGTATTCTTGTATGGTTGGACTCGTTATTGAATGTGTGTTCGAATTTTATAATTTTAGTTGGGTTCCAAGATGCGGGCCCGGGGTTGAATTTTTGAGTTGGCTTTTCATTTCTCTTTAAAGATCGTAACTTGATTGTTTGGAATAGTTTCCTATAATTTATATTTATGGTATGAAGTTGTTTTGGCAAGATTCATCGAAGGAAAGGCTTACTAGTGAATTGAGTTAGCGTGCTTTGAGATAAATGTCTTGCCTAACTTTGTATGGCGGGATTACCCTTTTATGATTGGTGTTGGTTTGTGTTAATTGTGATATGTGAAAGCCGTGTACGTAAGGTGACGAGTGTTAAAAGGGCTAAATATGAAAATTTATCGGTTTTAGCTATGTAGTTTCCTTTCATGCCTTAATTGAGTTACCTTACTATGTTATGACCATCATCATTAGTCTATCTTCACATGCTTTACTTGTCTTGTCTCTTACTTGTTAATTGCCTTTACATGTTTAGTTGAAGTATTGTTTCCTCTATTCCATATTCATTATTTAACCGTTGAGTTCCTTAATTGAAGTATTATGTTTGCAATATCTTGTTGTTGAAATTGGTATTGAGCTATAAAGGCCGTGATTTACATTGAAGCAGAGTTGTAAAGTTATGAAATACCATTCTTGTTGAGTTATTCACTCCGGTATTTATTGTTGAGATTCCTGTGCATATTGTGGTTAAGCCATGGGCTATTTGTTGTGAAATTACTATTGTTGTTGGTTTATTGTAAAGTTGTGATATTGGGCACTTGAAGTGCGACTTGTGATACTTTGTGATATTGATACACATGCGGTGGTATTAGATTTTGGGGTTTAAATGCATACGGTGAGATAAGGAGGCTTTGATACGTGTTTTGCTAGTAGGGAAACTACTTGAAGTCACGCGGTGTATAAGGTGGGCTAAAACGCGGGAAGCTATTTCGGGAATAATAATTTTTAAAATTAAATGCAAGGCTCCAGCGGTGATATAAGAAAAGATTGTGAAATGATTTATGATTTGAGACTACGAGGCGGTACCTCAGTAGTGATTCTTGTTGATACTTCTCTGTTACTTCACTTGTGTTTTTGTTGCTTTGTTCCATGTCATAACATTCCTTGTTTTCTTTATTGTCTTATTTCTATTGTTATCATTATCACACCACTATGTACCTGTTCAGTTTCGTATTTATTCCAGTAGGGCCCTGACCTGACCTCGTCACTACTCTACTGAGGTTAGGTTTGGAACTTACTGGGTACCGTTGTGGTGCATTCGTGCTACGCTTCTACACATCTTCTTGTGCACATCCAGGTACCTCCTGCCAGTCCAGGCACTAGTGAGACGAGCCCAGTTTCAGAGACTTCAAGATAAACCTGCTGGTGACCGCAGGCCTCAAAGTCCCCCTCTATCTAGTCTATTTCCTTTTCTTTCCTTTTATAGACACACTGTTGTATAAAGATGTTCAACACTATCTGTAGAGCTTGTGACTTGTTATCACCGGGTTTTGGAAAGTTTGTATATGCTGAGTTGCGGAGTTTATTCGTTATTTCAGTTATTTTTTGCATGTGTGTTAGGCTTACCTAGTCTTAGAGACTAGGTGCCATCACTACATCCTACGGAGGAAAAGTAGGATCGTGACCCCCCCCCCCCTAATATCCCAAATACCCAACATATTCAAGATTTTATCTTCTTCAAGAATTTAATTATTCTTTTAAAAATTCGCACAAACATAAATGAATTAATGTGTTGCTTTACTTTTGGCCAAATACATAGACAACCACTTAATGTTGGTAGAAAAATCCATTTAAACACGTCAACTAACCCTTGTACCTATTAGACACTCAAACACTCGCCAAAGCGTACCTATTGAACCCTTCATGCACATGTGGCACAAAGAGTGAGTTTCACTTCAGGTCCAGCGCGTGAATGAATAACTGGAATGTAATTTTTATTTATCTTTCTCTTTCTTCACTCTCCTTTGTCAGTTGAATCAGTCATCTTCACAATTTCAAGCTTCTCATCGATTTTCTTCTTAGATCCTCTTGATAACATTCCTCTTCACAAAATTTATAAAATTTACACAACTAAAAAATTATACACAATCAAATATAATATCTTGAAATTGATAACAACATCAGTCTCTCCGCCACCACCAACCACCCTTGCTTCGTCCTCACTCCACTCTCACCAAAAATAACATCAATGTCTGCTCCATCTGGCAAGAACTCAGAAGCGAAAATGGTGGACAATTTCTAATTAAGTCCAAAACTAAGTGCAATAGATCTAAAAAATGTCAATTGACCCAATTAAATTTAAAAATTCAACACAATCCACTTCAAATCAAGCGTTATTTTCTTCCATTTCCTTGTCTTCAAGGGGTTTGTTGTTTGATTTGGGACAATATATTTATTGGAAAGCAAGTTGAGACTTATTGAAAGGCGATAAGCTTTGTTACAGGTGGAACCCAAGGAGTCATTGGTATCGATTTTTATCGCTGGTTTTTGTCACGACCCAAATTTTCCACCGCCAGGACCGTGATTGCACCTAACATTGTACACGCTAGGCAAGACAACGTTACAAAATTTCTCACCTTTTTCTTTTATCTTTTAATAATTAAAACTTAACACAAATAAATCAGCGAAAATAAATGCAGAAGAACACAATTTAAGAGATTATCTTTATACTAACAACGAAAACCGAAATAAATTCCACCCAGAATTGGTGTTACAACTCACGAATAGTCTACGAATACTACAAATAATAGTCTGAACGAAAAGTTTACATCTGTCTCGGAAGTAGATAAAATAGAAATGAAATAGGATAGAAGGGGATGTCAGGGCCTGCGGACGCCTGCAGGACTACCTTAGGTCTCCGGGAAGCAGTGATAGCAACCAACCTCACGATCAACCACTATTTTCAATATCTGCACAGATAATGCAGAATGCAGTATCAGTACAACCGACCCATGTACTGGTAAGTGCCGATCCTAACCTCGACGAAGTAGTGACGAGGCTACGGAGGGGCATACAATATATATAACCTGCAATAGTTTGTACTAAACAGAAAGGAAATACAGAATGTAATAAAGCAATAACTGGTATTAAATGAATTCGGAACCCAGTTGTTCTGCTAGTATTCAGCTATAACCAATCCTTAAGGGTGTTTCAACTTCACAGTAATGGACCTCAACAGATATGAATACATAACAACAACTGATGCTGCGCATCCCGATCCCATCATATAAACAACAACAACATCAATATTCACCCTTATTCCTCCTTGTTGTGGCGTGCAACCCGATCCCACCTGTCCACCCTTATTACTCCTCAACACATATCACCCTTATTCCTCCTGTTGCGGCGCAACCCGATCCCACCTGTCTACCCTTATTACTCCTTGTTGCAGCATGCAACCCGATCCCACCAGACAATCACATTTCACCCTTATTCCTCCTGTTGCGGCATGCAACCCGATCCCTATATATATATATATATATATATATATATATATATATATATATATATATATATATATATATATATATATATACATACATATATATATATATATCAGTACCCATCACAAAAGAATAAAGACAAGTGTTTCACAAGCTAACTCAAATCTCCCACATTACTTATACCTCAGTACACACAATGGAATATCACTACAATTATGAAACTTCACCAGTGAAAACTACTCACCGAGACCAACCAAGGTGCACCGTAAGGCACCAATAAATCAATATATCCAATAGGGTAATAAAATGAAGCTACGAAACAAATAATACTTCAACGGGAACATCAACAGTTAACATAAAATAGTTAAATAATTCAATAAAGAGAACAACAGTTAATATGAAGCAATTAAACATGGAAGCATTTATGAGCAAGTAGCAATTAAGGCAGGAAAGCAAGATATAGGGAAACGGGGAAAGGAAATAGGCTAAACAAGTAATTTTGCGACGCATAGGTACTCGTCACTACACCTATACGCCACACACATGATATCTCACATAGCAAGCAAGTCGGGGATCCCTAATCCGTTAAGTCAAGGTTAGACCAAACACTTACCTCAAGCCAACGGGTATTTCAAAGCTCAATCACCGCTTTACCTCTCGATTCCACCACCAATTCACTCGTATCGAGCCATAATTAACTTAATAACATCAATAAACGCTAAAGAAACCAATTCCAATGCATAATCAAAGATTTCCCAATATTTTCCTGAAAAGTCAAAAATCAACCCTGGGCTGGTTGGTCAAAATCCGAAGTTCGGACCAAAACACGATTACCCATTCACCCCCCGAGCCCGAAAATACAATTTATTTCGAAATCCAACCTCAAATTGAGGTCCAAATCCCCAAATTTTGAAATTCCTAAATCCTACCCAAGAACACCCAATTTCCCATGAAAAACCCTGGATTTATTGAAATAAAATCATGCAAAAAGATGAAACAGATTGAAGTAAGTAAGTTAGAAATCACTTACCTATGATTTGGAGAAGTTTGGGTCTTTGAAAAATAGCCTATGGGGGTTTAAGGTTCGACAGAATTGAAAAATGGGTGAAAATCCTGTCTAAGTTATGTTTTACACAGTTGCAGGTATCGCATTTGTGATCACAGGTTCGCGAATGCAAACTCGCAAATGCGACCAAGGCTTCGCAAATGCGATATTGGCCTGGCCTGCTACCTTCGCAAATGCGAACATTTGTTCGCAAATGCGGTCACTGTGCAAGTCGCAATTCCGACGATGAACTTCGCAAATGCGAAGGTCCCTACCCAACTCAGTCATCGCAAATACAATGATTCTTCGCAAATGCGGTGATCTGCAACACACCAGCAAATTCCTTAAGTCTCAAAACACTCCGTAGCATCTCCAAAACTCACCCGAGCGCTCGGGGCTCCAAACCAAATATGCACACAAGTCTTAAAACATCATACGAACTTGCTCGCGCGATCAAATCGCCAAAATAACATCTAGAACTATGAATTCAACACAAAAACTCATGAAATTTTCAAGATACTTCAAAATTTCTAAATTTTCAACCAAAGGTCCGAATTACATCAAATCACCTCCGTTTTTCACCAAATTTCACAGACACGACTTAAATATTATATCCAACCTCTACCGGGCTCTGGAACCAAAATACGGGCCCGATACCAACAATATCAAATATTATTCAATTTCCAAAAACCATCATATTTTTCAGTTAATAATTTTCTTGAAAAATTTATTTCTCGGGTTAGGAAACTCGGAATTCGATTCCGGGCATACGCCCAAGTCCCATAGTTTACTACGGATCCTACGAGACCGTCAAATCACGGGTCCAGGTCCCTTTATAAAAAATGTTGACCGAAGTCAACTAAAATCATCTTTTTAAGCCAAAATCATTATTTCTTAAATTTTCACACAAAAGCTTTCCGGTATCGCGCCCGTACTACGCACGCAAATTGTGGAGAGGTAAAAGGAAGTTTTCAAGGCCTCAGAACACGGAAACGGATTCTAAAACAAAAGATGACATTTTGGGTCATCACATTCTCCACCTCTAAAACAACCGTTCGTCCTCAAACGGACATAGAAACGTACCTGAGTCGGTGAAAAGATGGGGATATCGGATTCGGACTCCCAGGTAGCTACCTCAACAAGCTGACCTCTCCACTGCACACGAACCGATGGATAACTCTTCGATCTCAACTGATGAACCTACAGTCTAGAATAGCTACCGGCTCCTCCTTATAGGTCAAATACCTGTCCAAATGGATAGTGCTGAAGTCTAACACGTGGGATGGATCGTCGTGATACTTCCGAAGAATGGACACATGAAACACTTGATGTACAACTGATAAACCCAGTGGCACCGCAAGTCTGTAAGCCACCTCTCCCACTCGATCAAGGATCTCAAAAGGTCCGATGAACCTAGGGCTTAGCTTGCCCTTCTTCCCAAATCTCATCGCGCCCTTCATGGGCGACACCCGAAGCAACACTCGCTCTCCGAGCATGAATGCCACATCATGAACCTTACAGTCGACATAACTCTTTTGCCTAGACTGAGCTGTACGAAGCCTATCCTGAATGATCTTAAACTTGTCCAAGGCATCCTGTACTAAATCTATACCCAGCAACCAAGCCTCCCCCGGCTCAAACCACCCGACTGGCGATCGACACCGTCTACCATATAATGCCTCATAGGGAGCCATCTAGATGCTCGACTGATAGCTGTTGTTGTATGCAAACTCTGCTAACGGCAAGAACTGATCCCAAAAGCTTCCAAAGTCAATAAAACAGGCTTGAAACAAATCCTCCAAAATCTGAATAGTACGCTCGGACTACCCATCCGTCCGAGGATAAAATGCGGTGCTCAACTCGACCCGTATGCCCAACTCACGCTGTACTGCCCTCCAAAAATGTAAGGTAAACTGCATACCTTAGTCTGAAATGATGGACACGGGCACACCATGAAGGCGAACAATCTCCCGGATATAGATCTCAGCTAACCACTCCGAGGAATAGGAAACTGCTACAGGAATGAAATGCGCTAACTTAGTCAGCCTATCAACAATAACCCATACTGCATCAAACTTCCTCTGAGTCCTTGGGAGTCCAACAACGAAGTCCATAGTGATACGCTCCCACTTCCACTCAGGAATCTCAATCTGCTGAAGCAAACCACCAGGTCTCTAATGCTCGTACTTTACCTGCTGACAATTCAAACACCAAGCTACATATGCAATAATATCCTTTTTCGTTCTCCTCCACCAATAATGCCGCCGCAAGTCCTGAAACATCTTGGCGGCGCCTAGATGAATAGAATACTGGGAATTATGGGCCTTCTCTAGAATCAACTCACGAAGTCCATCCACATTAGGCACACAAACACGACCATGCATCCTCAAAACTCCATCATCTCCAACTGTAACCTGCTTGGCACCACCGTTCCGCACTGTGTCCCTAAGGACTAGCAAATGAGGATCATCATACTGCCGATATCTGATACGCTCAAATAATGAAGACCGAGCGACTGTGCAAGCTAAAACACGACTGTGCTCAGAAACATCCAACCTGACGAACTAATTGGCCAAAGCCTGAATATCCAAAGCAAGCGGCCTCTCACCGATCGGAATATATGCAAGGCTGCCCACACTGGCTGACTTCCTACTCAAGCATCGGCCACCACATTGGCCTTCCCAGGATGATACAAGATGGTGATATCATAGTCTTTCAATAGCTCCAACCACACTCTCTGCCTCAAATTGAGCTCCTTTTGCTTGAACAAATACTGCAAACTCTTATGATCCGTGAACACCTCACATGACACGCCATATAAATAATGCCTCCAAATCTTCAGCGCGTGAACAATGGCTGCTAGCTCCAAATCATGAACTGGATAATTCTTCTTGTGAATTTTCAACTGCCGCAAGCATATGCAATAACCTTGCCATTCTGCATCAACACCGCAGCAAGTCCAATATGAGATGCGTCATAATATACTGTAAATGGCCCTGAAACTGTGGGCAAAACCAACATCGGCGCTGTAGTCAAAGCTGTCTTGTGCTTCTAAAAGTTCGCCTCACACTCGTTCGATCACCTGAACGACGCACCTTTATGGGTCAACCTAGTCATCGGGGCTGCTATATATGAAAACCCTTCCACAAATCGACGGTAATAACCCACCAAATCTAAGAAACTCTGGATCTCTATAGCTGATGTGGGTCTATGCCAGTCCCTGACTGCCTCAATCTTCTTAGGACCCACCTGCTGATACAACATGACCCAAGAAAGCAACTGAACTCAACCAAAAATCACATTTCGAAAACTTAGCATATAACTGACTGTCTCTTAGAGTCTGAAGAATGACTCGAAGATGATGCTCATGCTCCTCTTGGCTGCGGGAGTAGATCAAAATATCATCAATGAAGATAATCACGAAGGAATCCAAATATGGCCTGAACACTCGGTTCATCAAATCCATGAATGCTGCTGGGGCGTTTGTCAACCCAAATGACATCACTAAAAACTCATAATGCCCGTACCGAGACCGAAAAGCTGTCTTAGGGACATTAGATTCCCTAATCCTTAACTGATGGTAGCCAGATCTCAGATCAATCTTCGAAAATACCTTGGCACCCTGAAGCTGGTCAAACAAATCATCAATCCTCGGCAATAGATACTTGTTCTTGATGGTGACTTTGTTCAACTACCGATAATCTATACACATCCTCATCGATCCATCTTTCTTATGAACAAACAACACCGGCGCACCCCAAGGCGCGACACTAGGTCTAATAAATCCCTTATCAAGAAACTCTTTCAATTGCTCCTTCAATTCTTTCAACTCTGGCGGGGCCATGCGATACAGAGGAATAAAAATGGGCTGAGTGCCCGGAGCCAAATCAATGCAAAAGTTAATATCCCTATCGGGTGGCATCCCCGACAGGTCTGCGGGAAATACCTCTGGAAACTCCCGAACAACTGGTACAGAATCCATAGAAGGAACCTCAGCACTAGAATCACGAACATAGGCCAAATAAGCCAAACACCCCTTTCAACCATACGCCGAGCCTTCACATACAAAATAACCCTGCTGATAGAATGACCAGGAGTCCCTCTCTACTCCAATCAAGGCAACCCCAACAAGGCTAAGGTCATGGTCTTGGCGTGACAATCCAATATAGCATGATAAGGTGACAACCAATCTATCCTTTAAGTGACATCAAAATCCACCATATCGAGAAGTAGGAGATCTACACTAGTCTCAAGACCCCCAATAACAACCACACATGAGTGATAGACACGATCTATAATAATAGAATCATCCACCGGCATAGACACATATACGGGAGCACTCAAAGAATCACGAGGCACAACCAAATATGAAGCAAAATAAGAAGACACATAGGAGTATGTAGACCCTAGATCAAACAGAACTGAAGCATCTCCACTACAAACCAGAACAGCACCTGTGATAACAGCATTGGAGGACTCAGCCTAAAGCCTGGCTAGAAAAGCATAACAACGGGGCTGGGCCCCACCACCCTAGATTATATCTCTGGGACGGCCTCCTACTGGCTGGCCTCCACCTCTAGCGGCCTGGCCTCCACCTCTAATGGCATGACCTCCACCTCTATCGGGCTAACCCCTACCTCTGGATCCCTGACCCCTACCTCTAGCTGGCTAGCCAGGCGGTACGGGAATCATGGCACGAGAACTCTACTGTTGCGACTAAACACTCACTAATCTCGGACAAGCCCTTCGGATATGACCATAATCACCACACTCAAAACATCCATCTGAATACTGCGGCTGAGGAAACTGAGACTGACCCTGACGGGCCGGCTGACCGCGATAATAACTCTAAAGAGGAGGTGCCCTGATAGGAGCTGGCGGTACACTATAAGCTGGCTGTCCTGAAGGAGGTACATAAGGACCACGACTCCTTGAAGCTCCGTGGGATGCCTGAAGCGCTGAATGAAACGGCCTGGGATGATGGCCTCTACCAAAAGTACCTCGACCTCCAGATGAGGTCCCACTAAATCCACCGGAGTGACGAGGCCTTTTGTCAGACCCTTGACCACTACCCTGAGCTAAAACCATCTCAACTCGTCTGGCCACATTGGCCGCATCCTGGAAAGAAATCTCACTCCCTGTCTCCTTATCCATCTGCAATCTGATAGGCTGAGCGAGTCCCTCAATAAATCTCCTCACCCTTTCTCTCTCCCTCTCTCTCTCTCTCTCTCTCTCTCTCTCTCTCTCTCTCTCTCGGTGGGGAGTATAAGAAGAGCATGACGGGCCAAGTCAATCAATCTGGTCTCGTATTAAGTGACGGTCATAGAACCCTGGTGAAGGCATTCAAACTGCCTCCGATAGTCCTCTCTCTGAGTGATAGGGAGAAACTTCTCTAGAAATAGCCGAGAAAACTGATCCCAAGTCAAAGCAGGCGACCCAACTGGTCTAGCCAAACAAAAATCCCTCCACTATTTCTTAGCGGAACCTGATAAGCGAAAAGCAGCAAAGTCGACCCCATTGGTCTCCACTATCCCCATGTTTCGTAGAACCACATGGAAACTGTCCAAATAGTCCTGGGGATCCTCTGAAGATGTACCGCCATAGGTAGTAGTGAAAAGCTTGGAGAACCTGTCCAACCTCCACAAAGCATCTGTAGACATAGCTGCTCCATCGTCTGTCTGTGCTACAACACCCGGCGGGACTACCCCAACCGGCTAAGCTGCTGGTGTCTGAAATTGGGGAGCCATCTGCTCCGGAGTGTGAGTAGCAGGAGTCTGTGCTCCTCCACCAACCTGAGAGACGGCTGGTGCTACAGGAAGTATGCCTGCCTAAGTGACACTCTCCATAAGCCCCACTAGACGGACCAGAGCATCCTGGAGTACCGGGGTAGCTATGAACCCCTCTAGAACTTGGTTGGACCCGCTGGAATGCTCTGGGCCGGAACCTCATCATCAAACTCTACCTAAGGCTCCGCCGCTGGTGCTGCTGCTCGAGCTCTGGGCTGAGCCCTGCCCCTGCCTCGGCCTTCAACACAGCCTCGGCCTCGTCCTCTGCCCCTCGTAAGAGCTGCCACTAGGGGCTCGGGATGCTGATCAGATAATGAAGCGGTACGTGTTCTCTCCATCTGCGAAAGAACAGAGTAGAGAGTTCAATTAGCATTGAGAGATCAAACCGCACGACAGAGATGAATAGAAGTGAAACTGTTCCTAACTCTGTAACCTCTAGGGGATAAGCACAGACGTCTGCGTACCGATCCCTCGGACTCTACCAAGCTTGTTTGTGAATTGTAAGACCTAAGCAACCTAGAGCTATGATACCAACTTCTCACGACCCAAATTTCCCACCGTCGGGACCGTGATGGCGCCTAACATTGTACTCGTTAGGCAAGCAAACGTTACAAAATTTCTCACCTTTTTCTTTTATCTTTTAATAATTAAAACTTAACCAAAATAAATCAATGGAAATAAATGCGGAAGAACACTGTTTAAAAGATTATCTTTATACTAACAACAAAAATCAAAATAAATTCTACCCAAAACTGGTGTCACAACCCACAAACAGTCTACGAATACTACAAATAATGGTCTGAAGGAAAAGCTTACATCTGTCTCGGATGTAGATGAAACAGAAATAAAATAGGATAGAAGGGGACGCCAGGGCCTGCGGACGCCTATAGGACTACATTGGGTCTCCGGGAAGCAGTGATAGCAACCAACCTCACGATCACCCACTAGCTCCAAAATCTACACAAAAAGTGCAGAGTGCAGTATCAGTACAACCAACCCTATGTATTGGTAAGTGCTGAGCCTAACCTCGACGAAGTAGTGACGAGGCTATGGCGGGTCATACAATATATACAACCTGCAACAGTTTGTACTAAACAGAAAGGAAATACAGAATGTAATAAAGCAATAACTGGCATTAAATGAATTCGAAACCCAGTTGTTCTACTAGTATTCAGCTATAACCAATCCTTAAGGGTGTTTCAACATCACAGTAATGGACCTCAACAGATATAAATACATAACAACAACTGATGCTGCACATCCCGATCCCATCATATAAACAACAACAACATCAATATTCACCCTTATTCCTCCTTGTTGCGGCGTGCAACCCGATCCCACCTGTCCACCCTTATTACTCCCCAACACATATCACCCTTATTCCTCCTGTTGCAGCGCGCAACCCGATCCCACCTGTCCACCATTATTACTCCTGGTTGCGGCGTGCAACCCGATCCCACCAGACAATCACATTTCACCCTTATTCCTCCTGTTGCAGCGTGCAACCCGATCCCAATATATATATCAGTACCAATCACAAAAGAATAAAGACAACTGTTTCACAAGTTAACTCAAATCCCCCACATTACTTATACCTCAATCCACACAATGAAATATCACTACGATTATTAAAATTCACCAGTGAAAACTACTCAGTGAGGCCAACCAAGGTGCACCGTAAGGCACCAATAAATCAATATAAGCCAATAGGGTAATAAAATGAAGCTACGAAACAAATAATACTTCAACGGGAACATTAATAGTTAACATAAAATAATTAAGTAATTCAATAAAGAGAACAACAGTTAATTTGAAGAAATTAGACATGGAAGCATTTATGAGCAAGTAGCAATTAAGACAGGAAAGCAAGATATAGGGAAACGGGGAAAAGAAACAGGCTAAACAAGTAATTTGGCGACGCATAGGTACTCCTCACTACACCTATATGCCATACACATGATATCTCACATAGCAAGCAAGTCGGGTATCCCTAATCCCTCAAGTCAAGGTTAGGCCAAATACTTACCTCAAGCCAACGGGTATTTTAAAGCTCAATCACCGCTTTACCTCTCGACTCCACCACCAATTCACTCGTATCTAGCCATAATTAACTTAATAACATCAATAAATGCTAAAGAAACCAATTCCAATGCATAATCAAAGATTTCCCAACATTTTCCCCCAAAAAGTCAAAAATCGCCCCGGACCCGCTTGGTCAAAATCCGAAGTTCGGACCAAAGCCCGATTATCCATTCACCTTTGAGCCTGGATATACATTGTGTTTCGGAATCCGACCTCAAATTAAGGTCCAAATCCCCAAATTTCGAAATTCCTAAATTCTACCCAAGAACACCCAATTTCCAATGAAAAATACTAGATTTTGAAATGAAATCACGCAAAAAGATAAAATAGATTAAAAGAAATGAGTTATAAATCACTTACCTATGATTTGGAGAAGTTTGGGCCTTTGGAAAATCGCCTATGGGGGTTTAGGGTTCGAGAGAATTGAAAAATGGGTGAAAATCCCGTCTAAGTTATGTTTTCCGCAGTTGCAGGTATCGCATTTGCGATCATAGGTTCGCAAATGCAAACTCGTAAATGCGACCAAGGCCTCGCAAATGCGAAGCTTGGCCTGACCTGCTACCTTCGCAAATGCGAACATTTGTTCGCAAGTGCGGTCACTGTGCAAGTTGCAATTGCAACGATGAACTTCGCAAATGCGAAGGTCCCCACCCAGCCCAGTCATTGCTAATGCGATGATTCTTCGCAAATGCAGTGCTCGCATTTGTGAGTCTGCAGATCTACAACACACCAGCAAATTCCTTAGTCTCAAAACAGTCTGTAGCCTATCCGAAACTCACCCGAGCCTTCGGGGCTCCAAACCAAACATGCACACAAGTCTTAAAACATTATACGAACTTGCTCGAGCGATCAAATCGCCAAAATAACATCTAGAACTATGAATTCAACACCAAAACTCATGAAATTTTCAAGATAGTTCAAAATTTCTAACTTTTCAACCAAAGGTCCGAATTACATCAAATCACCTCCGTTTTCACCAAATTTCACAGACATGACATAAATATTATATCCAACCTGTACCGGGCTCCAAAACTAAAATACGGGCCCAATACCAACAATATCAAATATTATTCATTTTCCAAAAGTCATCATATTTTTCAGTTAACGATTTTCTTCAAAAATTCATTTCTCGGGCTAGGAACCTCGGAATTCGATTCCAGGCATACGCCCAAGTCCCATATTTTACTACAGACCCTACGAGACCGTTAAATCATGGGTCCGGATCCGTTTACCAAAAATGTTGACCGAAATCAACTAAAATCATCTTTTTAAGCCAAAAATCATTATTTCTTTAATTTTTCACACAAAGCTTTCCTGTATTGCGCCCGGACTGCACACGCAAATCATGGAGAGGTAAAAGGAGAATTTCAAGGCCCCAGAATACGGAAACGGATTCTAAAGCAAAAGATGACCTTTTGGGTCATTACAATTTTCTTCATTTATTGAGGCATTATTATAGTTGTCATTTCTTTAGGTATTGCAAAACAAGAACTTGATCGTATAATATGAATTCTAGCATAATTTGGTCTGAAAATGAGGAATACAAACATTACCAATGCATGATTGGGTTGTGTGGATTGAAAAGCAAAACAGGAACGCCAGCCAAATGGCTCATATCCCTTGCTAACCTGAATATATTGATCTTTCTTTAGATGAAGAAGAAGAAACAATGGAGAAGACAATGAACGACGACGGACATGAAGGAAGGAAAGGGGATAATCAGAAAGGAAGTTTTTCTTTTTTTGGCTTAAAGTCTTTTGCTTTTCCTTTTAAATTTTGTTTTATACTTTTGTATTTTGCACGTGTCACCCATTAATTGGTCCCTTTTCACATCAGCAGAGAGTAAAAAACACGCGCTCCTATTTAACAAAAATTGTGACTCAAGTGTTTAATAGGTACACTTCAGTTAGTGTTGAAGTGTCAAATAGGTGCAAGGGTGAGTTGAGGTGTGTAAATGAATTTTGGTGCCAACTTTAAGGGGTTATCTGTGTATTTGGCCTTTATTTTTTTACGCAAGATAATGTTGAAATTTGTGATCCACAACTAAAAAGAAAAATACAATTTTCTTAGTTGAAAAAGAAAGTACTTTTCTACGATAGGAAAAAGAAAGTACTCATTTTGTTGAAATGAAAGAAAATACTTTTTTTACATTATGAAGAAAAATACTCATTTTGATAAAATAAAAGAAAATACTTTTTTCTATATTATTTTATTGAAATAAAAGAAATTTTTTTTACATCATGAGAAGAAAGTACTTTTTTTTGGTTGAAATGAAAGAAAATACATTTTTACATCATCAAAAGAAAATACTAATTTTGTTGAAATAAAAAAGAAGGTACTTTTTCTACAACATGAAAAGAAAGTACTCTTAATAACATTTCTATTTAGGATGGGGGTGTGGAGTGGGGTGACGGTGTGGTAGGGGTGGGTGGAAAACTGTACAAATTTGCTTCTACTTCTTAAACAATTTTTGATATTCAAGTTTGCATCTACAAAGAACAAAAATGCTAAATAATTTTCACGACCCGAAATTACCTCGAGACCATGATGGCGCCTAACATCCACTTGCTAGGCAAGCCGACGTTACCAAAGAAATTAATCAATTTTTAGCAATTAACTCAAGTAATGTCAATAAATGAAAAATAAACTTCAAATCTAACATAGTGCGATATAAACAATGTGATACTAACTACTCCCAGAAATCTAGAGTCACGAGTACATGAGCAACTAGAAGTCTATAAACATAGTATGAAATAAATACAACTGTTCGAAAGAGATAAACAATAAAGGTAGGAAATGGGGGGGGGGGGGGACTTTAAGGTTTGTGAATGCCAACAGATCTAACTCGAGTCTCCGTATGAAAGTGATCCGAGTCGACGCACCTCTAACCACTGCTGGAACCGAAATCAGTATCTACATAAGAAGTGCAAAAGTATAGTATAAGTACAACCGACCCAATATACTCCGTAAGTGTCAAGCCTAACCTCGACGAGGTAGTGACGAGGCTATGACAAGACACCTACGTAAAAATCCTGTACAAATATATATAAAGTAGCAAAATAACTAGAAAAATAATAAAATATTAACTAAAAGGTGTCACGACCCGGATTTCCCACCATCGGGAGTCGTGATGGCGCCTACTAACGGAGCTAGGCAAGCCAACTTAATTAACAAATTCATTAAACACCTGTTCCCTTTTGACAATTAACGGCATTACATAAAGGCGACAGAATTAAAATCATAAGCGAAAGACTTAAATGTAGATAGATGATCAATAATACAGAAGTTCCACACATATATCTCTACCCCGGGACTGGAGTCACATACTCACGAACATTTAAGGAGTTCTACATACAAGGTCTGAAAGAAATATAATCTGTTTATCTCGGGTACAATGAGATGACAGCCAAAATGTAAAGATAGAAGGAAGATGCCGGGCCTGCGGACGCCTGCAAGCTACCTCGGGTTTCTCTCTGGACTGAAGGTGCGCCCCCGTGCTAATGCTGCTGCTGCTGCTCAAAACCTGGACCTGTGCAAAAATGCACAGAGTGTAGCATCAGCACAACCGACCCCATGTGCTGGTAAGTGTCTAGCCTAACCCCGGCGAAGTAGTGATGAGGCTAGACTGGACACCACATAAACCTGTGCAGTTATAAATATACAACGGAAACAAGATACCAAACAACTAGAGACATGGGAGGGGGAAACATGCTGTGGGAAGATAACAACAGTAACGGTAAATCTGAAGTAATCAATCTAGGTGCAACTTACAACTTAAAGCGAACAAGAAACTAATACCGACACTAAACACATTTGCATCAATAACTGTTGCGGCGCGCAACCCGATCCACAATTATCACTGTTGCGGCGTGCAACCCGATCCATAATTATCACTGTTGCGGCATGCAACCCGATCCACAATTATAACACTGTTGCGGCGTGCAACCCGATCCACATATAACACTGTTGCGGCGTGCAACCCGATCCATAATTATCATTGTTGCGGCGTGCAACCGGATCCACAATTATAATTGTTGCGGCGTGCAACCCGACCCACAATTATAACTCTCAACCTTGCCCAAGTAACAGTCACAAATAAAGGGCAAGGGAGTAAACAAGTATTTGGAAAGAAATCCCAACAAGGGTACACAAACAACCAATGACAACCATGCAAGAGTAAATCGTTATTTCTCTTTTTCTCTCATTTTTATATCCTAACTCTCCTTAGCACTCGTGTCAAGCTCTAAGGCATTTCTCATTTCACATGCTCTCACCATTTGTATTTCAGACCGAGCCAATGCTCCACGAAGTTCTACAATCACAATATCATTCCCAATATGTTTACCACGTATAGAAGCCATCAATGACATGGAAGGCATAACAATATCCAAACAACTCACATATAAGGACTCACGGTCATGCTAGACCCCAATGTATAGGAACTTGTCACCATGCCTATACACCGTACTCGATCATTTAGCAATTAGCAAACAAGAATCGACTCCTATTCCCTCAAGCTAGGGTTAAAACAAACACTTACCTCAACTTCTGCGGCCAATACAATCCTCCCCAACCGCTTTCCCTCTCGAATTCGGCTCCAACTCGACCAAATCTATGCAATAAGGACTTCATGATATCAATATCTGCTAAACAAATCAAACCCAATGACTAATTGTAGCTTTTTCATCAATTTACCCCAAAAGGTCAAAAATGCCCCCGGGCCCACATGGTCAAAACCCGAGGTTCGAACCAAAACCCATTTACCCATTCCCCCAAGAACTCAAATATGTAAGTTATTTTGGAATCGGACCCCGAATTGAGGTCCAAAACCCCCAATTTTAGAAAACCTAGGTTCTATCCTAAATTCCCAAGTTCCCCATTAAAATCATTGTTTTGAAGTTGAAACTATGTTTAAGGATGTTAAGGAATAAAGAAAATCAGTTAGAAAACACTTACCAATCGTTTTAAAGAAGTAGAATCGTTTGGAAAATCGCCTTTTATGCTTTGGGTTTTGAAAAAGTGAAGAAATGACTGAAAATCCCGACTTTATATACTGTGCTGAAGGCTGGCGCGGAGCACAAAAATGCACCGCGGCCGCGCCGAGGAAGGGAAGAAAAATGACTCTCTGAACCTACCCAGCGCAGACTGTACTGATTTGGTGCGCGGCCGCTCTGGTTGACCTAGAACTCACTGGCCCTCTGATCCTAGCCACGCGGACCGCGCAAGGACGCACCGCGGCCGCGTGGCTTCCAGCGCGGACCGCGCGGAAATGACCGCGGCCGCACTGGGGGCCTGCAACCCTTGAACCTGCAACCATCTGTTATTTTTTTCTAGCCTAAGATCTCCCGGGACCTACTCAAAACTCACCCGAGCCCTCGGGGCTCCCAACCAAACATACATATAAACTCAAAAACATCCTATGGACTCATCCGTGCGATCAAATCGCCCAAACAACATCATAAGCATCAAATTAGGCCTCAAGACCCAGGATTTCCTTCCAATTTTCATAAAACATCAAGTTTACTGCTTCAAGCTCAAAACACGTCAAATGACGTCCAAATCTTTCCAAACTTTACAGCAATTGCTTAAATCATATTTAAGACTTGTGCCGGGCGTCGGAACCAAAATACGAGCCCGACAGCACAGTCTTCAAAACAAGTAACACTTTCAAATTCTTTAATTATTTTCGAAAACAGTTTCACTCAAAAATTCATTTCTCGGACTTGGGACCTCGGAATTTTATTCCGGGCACACACCCAAGTCCCAAAATTTCCTACGGACCCTCCAGGACTGTCGAATCACGAGTCCGGGTCCGTTTGCCCAAAATGTTGACCGAAGTCAAACTCAATCAATTAAATACCAAGATTTAATAATTTTTCTCACAAATTTCATATTTAAACTTTTTCCGGCTACGCGCCCGGACTGCGCACACAACTCGAGGCAACCCCAAATGAGGTTTCCAGGGCCTCAGAAGTACAGAGGGAATAGGAATACAGGTGATGACCCTTTGGGTCGTCACATTCTCCACCTCTAAAACAACCGTTCGTCCTCGAACGGACAAAAGAAAGGAGTACCTGAGTCGGGGAAAAGATGGGGATAACGGCTCCGCATATCGGACTCGGACTCCCAGGTCGATGCCTCAGGAGGCTGACCTCTCCACTGAACACGAACAGAAGGAAAACTCTTGGATCTCAACTGACGAATCTGCCGGTCCAGAATAGCTACTGGCTCCTCCTCATAGGACAAGTCCCTGTCCAACTGGACAGAACTGAAATCTAACACGTGGGCAGGATCGCCGTGATACCTCCGAAGCATGGATACATGGAAAACTGGATGCACGGCTGATAAGCTGGGCGGCAACGCAAGTCTATAAGCCACCTCTCCCACTCGATTAACAATCTCAAACGGGCCAATGTACCTAGGGCTAAGATTGCCCTTCTTCCCAAATCTCATCACACCCTTCATAGGCAACACTCGGAGCAATACCCGCTCACCAACCATGAATGCTACATCTCGAACCTTACGGTCTGCATAACTCTTTTGCCTAGACTGAGCTGAACGAAGCCTCTCCTGAATGATCTTGACCTTGTCCAAGGCCTCCTGAACCAAATCCGTACCTATCAACCGAGCCTCTCCCGGCTCAAACCACCCAACCGGAGACCGACATCGCCTACCATATAAAGCCTCATAAGGAACCATCTGGATGCTCGACTGGTAGCTGTTGTTGTAAG